TGGAGGAGCTTGAGGTTATGGTGTCTATTTCTGAACAGAGGCCATGGAAAGGAAGGAAGAGAGTGATGAAAAGAAGGGAGCTGAAGATAGTATTCCTGGTGTGAATCATGATATTTGTATATAGTTTTAAGATAATTGTCACACTTGTATTGTATGTTAACTAAAAGTGCAGAAGTGATTTATAAGTGTGAGAAGATTGGGTAAGTTTTGAGTCAATTAAAGTCAACGTCAAGAGGGTGAGTCAACGTTAAAATTGGTAAATTTTTGTTGTACCTTTTTCATTGTGGACGACTCAACCTTGTGGACAATGCACAGTCTATTCTAACTTGTATGAAGAGTTTAATTGAAAATTTGAAGATGACTTTGTGGTTTTTAAGTTATTCATTGTGGACGACTCAACCTTGCCCACAAGTCAGACGAAGAGGGGTTAGTGCAGTGACGCGTACTTTCGCTCGGCGTGTACCATGTCCCGAGTTCAAGTCACCCGAGAGAATTGGGGAACCAGTATTGATCCCCTTTTATAGATAGAAAAAAAAAATAAAAAAAAAACCTTGTCCACAAGTCACAGCCAATTTTAGAATCCTCTGCTTTAATAAGTTCTCAAGTTTTTGTTTTTGTTTTTGTTATTTTGATTGGGTCAATTCTTTAATTCAACTCAACTTTCTAGTTCAATTAGTACGAACCTCGTGCGATACACGGGTAATAGATATTTATTAATATTTATAAATTAAAATTTTTTGAAATTTAAATTGTGCAAAAATCACATAGAACATGCTTATTTAAAATTAGTACACGACCCGACAACGAAGCACAGTTTGAGTGGTAAGCCGTTTCATCTATGACCAATAAGTCATGAGTTCGAGTAACTGCATGGGGGAACTGAGAACACTATTGATCTTTCTTAAAAGAAAAAAAGAAAAAAAAAGGTAAGAATAGTACACAATCCATACGGTGCCTATGAATAGGTACACGTGAAATCATCCATGTATTTATTTCATATTTTATTTAATAATAAATGTTGTATTCATTTTTATTTGTCACTCTATTTTTTATATTTACTTATAATTCAAAATATAATATATTTTATAATATTTTTTTTCCAATTTTATGAGGATACGAATTCTTTATTTTGTTCCCCAAAAATATTCGATGGAGCTTTACGCCTCAACCTTAACAATGTATGTGGTGATTAAATAATATTTTTTTTAATTTGTACAACAGATATTTATTTAAACTACATTGAAATATTTTTAAAAAAATATCTATTAATCTTATCTTATTTGGTTTTACATCTTACGAACATAGTTAAGAAATAAAAAACCTCTTTATTATAAATTTAGAAAAACACTGACCGTTTACACATTTTGAATTATCAATCTTATCAATAAAAATTTTATTATTTTATATACCATCTACCTAACCACTAAAGTTTTATTTCATATATATTTAAAAATTTAAATTTACCCCACTTTTTAACTTCAATTTTCCAAATTTTCTTCTTATTTTATAGGTGAATATATTATTTTAACACAAGAATGGTGAATTTAAATTTTACGTCAAAATTGGACGGAATTTTCAACAATCCCACCGTTCTAGGGTTCATTTAATGATGCCTTTAAAAGGTAAAAAATAAAATAAAAACTTGCTATTAATAGGATGTAATTAATGTTGAACCATGTTTGACCAAAGTCGACCTGCTATTTTTAAAAAATAGTTATTCTTTTTACATAAGTATAGATTAGCCCTCAAAACGTTATTTACCGAAGACTAAACTTCTATTTTTATTTTCAATTTTTTTTGATGATTCCACTTATATTATCAACTTAGTTCTACGATATATTTCATATAAAAAATAGAATTTCCAGAAGTATCAACTTCTACTAATTAATAATTTTAGTCGTCAAATTTTGGTGCTTTGCAATTATATATATCAATTTCTGTTGTTGAGTAGTGCATTTAAATTTTGACATCCACTTCAGACGTGGCAAAATTTCATTTTTCGACCTGGGTCTGGAGGGCCCTGAATCGGCACGAACTTATGCACAGGCCGATTCATTGAATCGATAGTTACAGCCTGACCAAGTTCAATCTAAAACAATTAAAAAATAGTTTTTTTCTTCTTTTCGTTCTGAAATACTCGATTTCTATTGATATCAGTTATAGTCTTTGGTTCGGGTCTAAAACAAATTAGAATTCTCAATTTTCTACGACGTCTAAATGACAAAATATTTTCAGGAACAGAAAAATCAGAACGACTTTTATCTCTATTTTCTATTATTCTTTGATGGGTTGAAATAGTTTCATCAAAATGATTTTTAGAAAGATATCCTTGCTCTTGATAGTTTTGATTAATTTGGCCTTGACTATTAGAAATTGACGAAATACCTATGGTTTGATACATAATAATTGTCCATCTTTTTTTCAGGCAGCCTATGGAGTTCTATACAGATGATTCCCTCGATTAACATAATAATTATGTTTAGGTGTCTGTTGAGTTAAGTGTCGTGTGCTTTTTTTTTGCGTTGCTAGCGTGGATTCTAGGCGGTCTTTCGATCCGTCATCCCAGTTTCTAGTTCTTGTTTGTAGTATTCAGCGATGGGTTGCTTTTTTGCACAGTTGTGCGTTTTTTTATCTATAATATCCCAATCGTTTCGGGAAAAAAAAAAACAACGAGGTCAAATTTACAAAAACCTGAGAAAACAGAAAATAGAAGTTCGTATTTTTCCTATGCAACCACCTAACCATGAAGTCGAGTTGGTGTATTGTTGCAGCCCCCTTGGTTTTAACCAGAAAAAAACTTGTCTTGTCAACCTACCACGTTAGGTTGCTTATATAATAGCCAGGTGGATCCCATCTCAGTTGAAAACGCTTAGAACATCCACAATGCTTCAGGTTCAATCACAAAAAATTGTATGACACATAAGAAATAGACTTAGTCTACAAAAATGTATTATCCAATGCAAATAAAAGTAAACTGGATCCTGCTGATGTGGCAGCCAGAAAAAGAGACCCGGTCTACCCTTAAGTCTATTTTAGACTCAAGTAGAGACTTAGTCTTTTTGCATTGGAGTAAGTTTTATTAATTTTACATACTTTTATCCATGTCATCCAAGACTTGGGTTTATTTACATGCCACATAGGCAAGACTAGACTCAATGCATTGTAGATGCTCTTATCCTCGGCCATTATTGACTGTGCACTTTGCGATATTTAAAAGGTCAAATTGTCGGGCCGCTTCCGATTCGAAACCAGCACAGCGGGTCAACAACAAATACGGGACCCGTAACCAGCCTGGTCAAACCATGGGCTCGATTCAAGACCAGTTGACCACAGGCCGATTCAGGTCCTTTGAACTTTATATTGTACATATAAAATAAACAAAATTGATTATATTTATCTTTATAACAAAAATCGAATTGTCCATTAATATTAATTAAAAAATATTTATGATGGAATAAATTTATCTATAGATTAATTACACGATACAAGATGGAAATTATTATAATATAAGACTGGCAAGTCCTATAAGCAACTAATATCATTTTAAATATATATAATAGTATAATTTTTAAAAAAGTATTCAAAATTGAAAAAAAAAAAAAACTTTTTTCGTCTTAATTTGTTAAATTTAAAATTTAAGTTTTTTAACAAGAGTATTGTTCTAGTAATCAGATTATATGCCAACTTTTTTTTTTTTT